CGGGACAGGGAGCGGGAGCTGGCAGCCCTCAGGGGAGCCATGAGGCATGAGGCATCCAGCCACGATGAGGAGCTGGAGAAGATCCGTAGGGACCTGCAGCAGCTCCAGGAGGAGAGGGATGAGGCCACCAAGGTGAGTGCTGGGATGAGGCACCAGCCCAGGAGTGATGCCCGTGGTGAGGTTCCCTCACACCTTGCCCTAAGCTCCAAGCTGTGCATCCATGGGGTGATGTGAGCAGCCTGCAGCCCTGAATTCACCCAGTGGATGCAGCCCAGGTTATCCCCCCTGGATCCACTCTGTGCCATGTCTGTGTTACAGGCAAAGGCATCCCTGGAGAGTGCACGAGAAGCGTCGGAGCAGGCCAGGAAGGTGGTGGAATCCAGCCTGAGGGAAGTGCAGGAGCAGAACGATGACCTGAGAAGGAAATTCCTGGGGATGGAGTCGCAGCTGAAGGAATATGAACGCTTAGGCGAGAACTGGGAGGGCTCTCAGGCACGGCTCAAGGAGAAGGTCACCAGACTGGAGGTACTTTGGTTGAGATCATCCTTGAGCTTCCCTGCGCTCTTCCCATGCTGTAGGAAGGAGCTGGAAGAGCTTTCTCCTTGCAGGCAGAGCGCAGGCACATGGAGGAGTCTCTGGGAGATGCCACAGAGAGGGAGCAGGAGCTGTTGCTGGCCAAGAGGTCTCTGGAGACACGACTGGAGGAGGCCGAGCGGAGTTTGGCCAGGCTGGGGCAGGAGCACCAGGCCCTGAGCGCGTCCTACCAGGATGAGCAGCGGCAGAAGGAGCAGCTCAAGCGCGCCAAGAGTGAGCTGGAGGAGCAGAAACGCCTCCTGGACCGCACCACCGAGAAGCTGAACAAAGAGGTTGGGGCTCCAGGTGCTTCCAGGGCCACCCCCAGGACCTCCATTCCATGGGGCACCATGTCCTGTGACACCTGGGATGGGGATCTCTGAGATGCCCTTGAGTTGGCAGAGGGATCCAAAATTATTGGCATGGATCTGGCTTCCCTGTGGAGCTGGTTGGGACTGATCCTTCCCCGATGTCCCACGAGACTCCATAAAACCATGCTGTCCCCAGAGATCAGCATCCCTGGTGTCCCAGAGCCACGTTGTCCCTTCTCTTCCCCAAGCAACTCCTGGTGCCCGGGATCATCCAGGCTGCTCTGGCAGGTCTTGCACCCCATGCCATGACATTCCCAAGTCCACAGAGCAGGAATATTCTCCTCCGGCCCCATTCCCATGGGTTTCTTCTCCCACCTGGAGTTCCATCAGCTCAGGACAGGGTACATGGACATGTCCCCAACCCCTGATCTGTGCCCTCTGCCACAGCTGGAGCAGATGACAGCAGAGTCACAGAGCTCCCTGACCGTGCTGAAGTCACAGCTGGAAGAATTCAAGGAAAAATCCCGGAAGGAGATAACAGATTCCCAAAAACAAGCCAAGGATCGAGGTGCTGAGATGGAGAAGATGCAGTTCAGCATGGGGAGGCTGCAGGACGAGGTAGGGTGGGATGTGTGTCCGTTCTCTCCATCCCTCCACGGGGACACATCTCACCTGGGGACACCTTTCCTGCAGGTCTCCAGGCTGAAGCAGGCGCTGCAGGACAGCCAGTCGGAGCGGGACAGCATCCTCTTGGATAAGGAGGTGCTGGTCCAGCGGCTCCACAACCTGGAGCAGGAGCTGGAGACCAAGAAGCGCTCCCAGGACGATCGCTCGCGGCACGTCAAGGCGCTGGAGGTGGGAAAGCCGCGGGACGTGCCCAGATCCCTCCCCCGGCCCTGCAGTGCTGAGTGCTGACAGCAAGGGGCAGAGCTGGCCCAGGCGTCCTCATTCCCGCAGCCTGGAAGCGCTGGGATGGGATCGGATTCCCAGGATTTGCGAATTGCCGGCGCGGCGGGTTTTGTCCGGCGCCGGCCCGCG